GTTGAAAATTGCAAAATTTTACTAAGTCAAGGGCAATAACTTTCTACAAATACTAAATAAATCCACACGAAAATAACCGGTGCAACAATTGCACATTGCTGATCAATGTTCCTGTCAAAGTTTCATGACCCTAGGCCAAATACTTCTTGAGCTATGTGCGACTAAGTCAAGGGCAATAACTCTGACAAAACAAAATAAATCCATAAGGGAAATTCCAAGGTTCAAAATTAGTCCACCAAAAAACCATCATAAAATTCATAACAATTTAAAGCTGAAAAACATGTTTGTTTGAAATACAAGTCGGGAAGTCTTAATCATTCTGTTTTTCAAAACTGTAATCGAGTGATTTAAAACCCCCTTTATATAATTTTCTCAACACAGTTTATGTCAACATAAAGTTTAAACATTTACACACTGATAAACTAGGGAAGATAACAACTTAACTTTACAGCACAGTGTGAAAGAACAACTTTAAATTTAAAAAATCAGGACTTATTTTTATATTCTGAACAAGTTAAAATACTGATTTAAAAACACAATGCTAAAATGTATTAGTTTCTCACACTACACACTTTATTTACGAAATAAATGAATGATATTTTTCAGGTTTAAACTTGTAACTTTACAATGTAATCAGTGTTATAAAATAAGGAAGTAAATAAGGGAGCAAAATTCCACGTATCCAATATCAACAGCAAAATATTTACATTAGAAAAACCTTGTGAGACAATTTGAGGATTACGATTTAAAGGTACAATATTTTTATTAAATATCTTAATTCCTAATAAAAACTACTCTCTCTCACAACTAGGGAGCATAATTATTTTATAAAGTTGGTTTTTTTTTAAAAAGGAAGTTCAATTAAAATTTACATATATTTTGATACACAAAGTCATGGTATTGAAAAACTTCTGGACTGGGTTATTTTTGCCTTTTAATTATATTTATATTTGAAATCAGACCCGTCAGTGGACAGAGCGCTCCACTTTTCTAATTGTTTTATAATATAATTCAATAAAATCAGGGTTATAATTCTGTAAATGTGATTAGCAGACTCACAAGAATTTGAAGTTTGAAGTGAATACATTTTTCCATTTTATTGGTTATAATATAATTTTAACATCAAATTATCTTTTGAAACTCAAAAATTAGGCACGGCATAGTTACGGTTGGGTCCTATGGATTGAAGAGTTTTTGGTTGGAGCCTGTTTTGGCATAAAAGGTCAATCTCGTCTAAATGTTTAAATTTCAGACCTTTTAGACTTAATAACCCAAAAAATCAAAAACATTCATGATGTGCCCCCAATGCTACTATGAAGAAACTAGGACAATTAAGGCATTATGTTGTATGTCAAATAAAATTGTAACAATTGTCTTCTTGGTGGGTGGGGTGGAAAGGGGGCGGGGCAGTGAGTGAATCTATCCTTGAACCAGGAATATAAGTAAATGATTCACCTTGTTTCATTTAGTTTATACTTCTGAAATATACAGCAGGGTCTAATTTAATTTACCTTTTGACATCACCTTACATGGCCGGATAATCATATTGATATAAAATACTTAAATCAACTAAGTTAATTGATACATTCACTATAATGACATAGCATTAGATAACTAGAAATGTGTCGTCATGCCACGAATGGCCCCGCATGCAGCCAAAATTTCAGATGTTATAATATTTAGTTCAAAGTTTGTTTGCACAAACTATTTTTTTTTTGTTTTAAGTTCAAAAAGCCCTTAAAAATATAGTAAAAACAGAATCCCTAAGAAAGCCAAACACGACAAAAATTGAAAATGTTGCAGGCTCGGTTTGATTGAGCCTGTTCATTGGACGGTACTGGAAAAATGCAAGTAACCGTCCACGCCCCCTAGCACCGGTTTAAGCAGAATTCAACATTTAACACGAAAACGGTGCAATTTAGAATTGAGAAACATCCGCAGATGTTAAAACTAAAACTATTCAATGTTAACACAAACCATTTTTATACAAAGTTCAAGGCACTGAAACTATTCAGTGTTTACCATTTGCAAATTGCATATTTGTAGCCAAAATAATGGCTACATACATTTCAACAAAAGTATGAGTGCTGAAACTGAAAATTCAAAATTCATTTCCAACATTCAAGAAAGATAACTTTGTCCAAAATCATTGAACCAAAACCAAATTCAAACTTGAACTGCTTATTCCTTAGATGTATCTATATGTCAAATTTAAGTTGAATGTGTACAACCACTGGGGAGATAATGAACGGAAACTTAAAATTTCTGGTTGTTTTTCAAGTTCAAGAGGGATAACTCTTTCAGCTATCATCAAACCATGACCAAATTCAAAATTGACCAATTAATTCTTATGACATATCCATATCTTTAATTTGAGTTGAATATGTACAACAGTTGGGGAGATAATGAATGGGAACTTAAAATTTCCATAACTCTACCGAAAATCTCCGAACCATGACAAAATTCGAACATGACCTGTATTTTCTCATGACATATCCATATGTCAAGTTTAATTGAATGTGTAATATCATTGGAGAAATAATGAATGGAAACTGAAAATTACATATTATTTTCAAAGTGTAAGGGGCTTAGTCTAATAAACTCTGCCAAAAATCATCGAACCATGACCAAATTCAAACATGACCTGTATCTTCTCATGACATATCCATATGTCAAATTTAAGTTGAATGTGTAATCCATTGGAGAAATAATGAATGGAAACTGAAAATTTCATATTATTTTCAAAGTAAAAGGGGCATAACTCTGCCAAAATTCATCGAACCATGACCAAATTCAAACTTGACCTGTATTTTCTCATGACATATCTATATGCAAAATTTTAGTTGAATGTGTGCAACTGTCACTAAATTAATGAACGGAAACTGATGATGACGTAATGACAGAATGACGGTACAGAGTAACACTATCTGCTCCAGCCATTATAAGGCGGGGCATAATAAACAATATAATATTCTTCATGATTGCAAAATATACTTTAAATGATTAACATGACATAGTGATTGTACTCCCGTCCCTAGATTTGCCACTACTTGCCAGCTATTTCCACTGAAAAGGGTGGCATTAAGTGTAAAAAAGGTGGCATTAACTGGAAAATGACAAAATTCCACTCTTTTTCCACTGTAGTGGCAAAATTGCCACCAAATGCCACTATCCTTTGGTGGCATTTAGGTGGCATCGAGTGGAAATTTGAACATAGACTTTTTTATGGTGGCAAAAGGGTGGAAATTGGTGAAAAATGAAACTTAGTTTATTTTGAAGGTGGAAAATGAGTGGCTTTTAGTGGAAAAGTGAAACTCTAACTATTTTCTGGGTGGCAAAATAGTGGAAAAAACTTAGAAAATTTTGTGAATAACTTTTAGTCGAAAAGGAAAACTCTTAACTATTTTCTGGGTTGTATAAAAATTGGTGGAAAAAACTGAGAAATCTAATAATTGTGCATTGCAGGGTTTAAGATTTATTTAAGTCAAAGCTCCAAACTGAAATAAATCTGTTTATAGTTTGTACTCTACCAAAGCATCAAGTGAACTTTTATCAAAAAAATATAATTTATTAAGTTGAACAGTTTTAGAAAATTTTATCAGAAAACTCATATTTCTTAAACATACTAGAATTGCCAATGAACACAAATTTCTGATACAAAGTCACTGCCTCACAGTAACGGTATGATAATTCCAGCTGTAAAGTAGCAGGAAAAGACACAGAAATTGGACGTAAAATCACTTTTCCAGGCGTTAAACACATATAATTATGATCAGGAAAAAATTAGAAAAGTATGGGGTTACTTAACTTCCCATTTTTTATGGCAGTACTTTTCTTTAGGGATTGTAAAATTTGACTTTCAAGTCAAAATGTTTATGTTCCATTCTATGCTTGTAAAATAAAATTACGGCTTTTAAAGTGTACTTTGTTCTTTAGTTATAATCTGTACATTAAATAGTTGAAATGTTCTTCTATGCCCAGAAAATGCATATCTTTGCATAAAGTTTGTTGCTTCTTCTATGATATTTAATGTCAATCTTGAATAAAGTTTGACTTTTGTCTTTTCTTCTAATTGACATAATAAATTGTCTCTTCATAATTACTTTAAACTGATATCTGGTGAGTACTAACACTTTTCATGTAATGCTAACAATAATTAAAGTGAAAAATGCAAAGGGCAATAACTCCAAAAGTATGCAAAGAGTTATGGTTCTTAAACACAGCACATTACTCAAAAAGATCTATATCTGTGAAGTTTTTAATTAATATCTCCAGTACTTTTTAAAATGATCAAGACAAAAATTAAGCATAGAGAAGTAAAAAATGACAATAAACCCCAAATCATGCAATAAAAAGTTATGGTTCCTTGGCATTGTAACTTCTCATAAATGAGATTTATAGTTATATGTGGAGTTTAAAATTATTGTCTCTAACATCTTTTGTGCTATGCTTTCAGAGGCTTTAAATCTATTGTAAAAATTAATGTGTGAAAAGTAAATAAGTCATAATGTCTGATAAATTTCTTACAATCAGGATAAGTAACTACTAGCTAGTAAATACTGCATCCTCTAAGATTTAACAACACAGCATACATCTCAGATCTGATAAAACTACTGCCCTCTTATCTAGTAATCTATGAATGGGGGTTAATAGTTTACTCATGCAGACCAGAATGTTCCATTTGATTATTTTGGGAGAGGCAACATTATACATGTTTTATGTAGAATTTGTCTTAAAATAGCATGCTAAATTATCTTTCAAAAGCTTATTTCTACTCAATCTATTTAGGTATTAGATATAGTTATACATTCAAATGAATGTAAAAAATAAAATGATGGGTGCTATGGTTTTTGGAAAATCCCTCACAATTTAAAATTATAATGGACTGTCCATGCAGTTACACCGTTGTAAAGTTTGAATTCAAAGGAATTGAGGTCAGCTAAAGCTTGCAAACACAAAGGAAATTATTGATATAGTAGCAATTCTGGAGATATTTTGTTTAAAATGTAAGAGTGCATATTTTTGATTTCTCAAAGAAAACATTTAAAGTCTTATTAGTGTGGTAAAATAGAAATGAGAAGTTTTAACTGAAGTGTGAATGTGTAGACAAGAAGATAAACAGCAGAATCATTCCCAGTCAAAGTTTCAGGTAAACAACTTTTACATACAATAATTATTGTTATTTATGCAGAAACTGTTTAGTTTTTTGACAGTAAAAATATGAAGTGGTATTGTATAAAATTGAGTTTTATATTTGTTTTGTTTGTAACTTGACTAAAAAGAAAGCTGCATGTACAATGTACATATAAAGAATGTAGGAATATAAAGAATGTTAGGAAGATCTTCATCATTTCTTAAATACAATATGTTAGAAATTTTAAGTTTGAGAAAAAAAATTATAGAAATTAATCAGTAAGTACAATATCATTATGTACAATATTACATCAATCAAACTATAGATAACCTGAGGTACCTATTACTACAACTTTCATGCTATAAACAATTTTCCTTGTGTGTCACATGTGGAGCAGATTAACAGTAACTGATTTATTAGTAAGTTTCATTCCTTCATTGTTGTAATTCAGCTTTCATGGTGCAGTAGATAATTATATAACCATAACTAGACAGTCTAGAGTAACATGCTATTAGGAGAATGACAGTTCATAACAGAAACAGCATTAAATAAGAATTATTATTTTGCAGACACAAAGCAATGAGGAGCAGCCTGGAGCAACACATTTGATCTTCAGTGGCTTTACAAAGGTATCTTGTTAATTCAAAGTTATTTTAGAATTAATAGGAAAGAAGTGTCACAGTACCCAATAAGACACTTTTCAGTTCTTGATAAATATAGCTATTAGTCACTATTTACAAACCTACTTTAATTCAAACTCTTTATGACACTTTAATTTGCATTTACATTTTGTTTTACAAATTTTAGAGTTTTTGTACATTTTAGCTTGAAAATTTTATCAAATATTTATCCTGATGAAGGTGCGTTAAGAACTGAAACTGGAAGATTATTAATTACTCAACCTGCACTGGTGTTGATGTGTTGTATTTCTTTATTTCTTTCTTATTTTACAATTTTAGAGTTGTATACATATACCAAGGTCTTATAAAAGTGTTTCATTTTCTGTCTTTACATATTAGATATTGATAATCATTTTCTGTCTTTACTTTATGGATATTTATAATTATATTTTAGGACCAAGTGATGGCAGAACTGAAGCCATATGCCTCAAAAGAGAAAGGTACAGCAAAGCTCTTCAGAATGCTATTCAATATAGAAGAGATTAAAGGCCGCTCATTGTTTGGTATGAGGAAAGGGAACAGAGAGTCTGACGCCAGACCTTCTTGTGCAGACAAGGCAAAACTTAAGTTCTTGGAAGGTAACTAATGAACTGAATGAAAATATCATTTTGATTCTGCGTATATTTTCTGCCTTGGAGTAAATAAGAAAAGTCTGATTCTTCCACGTCTGCAGTGCTGTTTTTTAAAGTGTTTTAATCATATCTATGCACTCAAATTGAATATAGAAATATCCAATAGTCATATAAAAATGTAAGCTTATGTTTTTAATTATTGTATTAATCATTCATAATTTTTAGCTCATCTGTCACAAAGTGACAGGGTGAGCTTTTGTGATCGCTTTTCGTCCGGCGTCCGTCTGTCCGTCGTCCGTCCGTCCGTAAACTTTTGCTTTAAATGACATCTCCTCATAAACCACTGAGCCAATTTCATCCAAACTTCACAGGAATGTTCCTTTGGTGGTCACCTTTAAAAATTGTTCAAAGAATTTAATTACATGCAGAACTCTGGTTGCCATGGCAACCGAAAGAAAAATCTTTAAATATCTTCTTTTAAACAACCCTAAGAGCTAGAGCTTAGATATTTGGCATGAAACATCTTCTAGTGAGTGTCTACCAAGTTTGTTCAAATTAAAGCCCTGGGGTCAAAATTGGCCCCGCCCCAGGGGGTCATTGATTTTCCCTATATGCATATAGTAAAAACTTAAAAAATCTTCTTTTAAAGAACCAAAAGAGCTAGAGCTAAGATATTTGGCATGAAACATCTTCTAGTGAGTGTCTACCAAGTTTGTTCAAATAAAAGCCCTGGGGTCAAAATTGGCCCCGCCCCAGGGGGTCATTGATTTTCCCTATATGCATATAGTAAAAACTTAAAAAATCTTCTTTTAAAGAACCCAAAGAGCTAGAGCTTAGATATTAAGCATGAAACATCTTCTAGTGAGTGTCTACCAAGTTTGTTCAAATTAAAGCCCTGTGGTCAAAATTGGCCCCACCCCGGGGGGTCATAGATTTTCCCTATATGCATATAGTAAAAACTTAAAAAATCTTCTTTTAAAGAACCCAAAGAGCTAGAGCTTAGATATTTGGCATGAAGCATCTTCTAGTGAATGTCTACCAAGTTTGTTCAAATAAAAGCCCTGGGGTCAAAATTGACCCCGCCCCAGGGGTTCATATATTTTCCCTAAAAGCATATAGTAAAAACTTAAAAACTCTTCTTTTAAAGAACTCAAAGAGCTAGAGCTAAGATATTTAGCATGAAACATGTTCTAATGGGTGTCTACCAAGTTTGTTCAAATAAAAGCCCTGGGGTCAAAACTGGCCCCGCCCGGGGGGGTCATTGATTTTCCTTATATGTGTATAGCAAAAACTTAAAAATCTTCTTTGAAAAAACCCAAATAGCTAGTTTAGATATTAAGCATGAAACATCTTTAAGTATATAAGTGTGTTCAAATAAAAGCCCGGGGGTCAAAACTGGCCCTGCCCCAGGGGTGTCATTGTTTTTAACTATATGTGTATAGTAAAAACTTTAAAAATAATCTCTTAAAAACCCAATGAGCTAGAACTTAGATGTTTAGCATGAAACATCTTCTTATGGGTGTCTACCAAGTCTGTTCAAATAAACAAATAAAAGCCCTTGGGTAAAAATTGGCCCGGGGGTGGGGGGGGGGCCTATATACAGGTGAGCGACCTCAGGGCCATCATGGCCCTCTTGTTTTTGTTTTAGATTGTGCGCTCGAAAAGTTGCCGACAACCTAAAGGACTGAACTCAAACCGTCCAGGAATAGCAAGATAAACTGAAGAAAATAAATGGACTAATGTTTTGCTATTTTTTGAGACAATATATAATTTCATATGGAAACATTAAAAAGGATTATCTTTAAAATTTGTTTGTTTCCAATTTTGGGTACAGGGTGACTTTCAAGCAGTTTCCAGCTATTGCCACCCACAAGGTGGAAAATTTCTGAAAGGGTGAAAATAGGTGGCATTTAGTTGAAACTGAATTTGCCACTATCTGGTGGCAAAATGGTGGAAAAGTGTCTAAATACTCCACCAATTTTCCACCCTTATGGTGGCAAAAGGTGGAAATAAGTGGCATTTGGTGGAAAATAAGTTTGCCACTCAATGGTGGCATAATGGTGGAAATTTGTCTAAATACTCCACCAATTTTCCACCATTATGGTGGCAATAAGTGGAAACAAGTGGCATCTAGTGGAAAATGAGTTTGCCACCCTAAGGTGGCATAATGGTGGCATTATGGTGAAAGTTTGTTTAAATACTCCACCAATTTTCCACTCATTGGTGGCATTTAGTGTAAAAAAGGTGGAATTAACTGGAAAATTATATAACATCAGTCCTGCTCAAATTTTTCACCATTTTCATGATTTAGGTGGCGTTTTGGTGGCGTTTTGGTGGCATTATATGTGGAAAATTGTCTAAATACTCCACCATTGAAAAGGGTGGCATTTTAGTGGCAAATCTAGGGACGGGCTGTTCGAGTAAACCATTTTTTACGTTAAAAATATTTTACAAAAACAGTATTAAATGAAGATAAACATAATACATTGATGCCCGCACCATCCACTGTTTGTCAGTCTTTGGAAGACAAGGACAACAGATGATACCATGGCAGATAAAGGCAAATGTAGATCACACCTACATATAGAGGCGGCATACAGAAAAGCTTTTAATAACAAGAAATGTCGAACCACACATATGCCCCACTTTCTAGCCCTTGACTCATACTATTGGTAATTTTGATTTAGGAACTTGCCATAAATGGGTACCTGAAAGTGTTCAGCTAAGGAATAAAGAAAAATAATGACCTACTAGTTATAAACAATCAGTATGTGAAATATAAAGACCTTGACCTTTGAACTAGTGACCACATTATGACTAATCAATATGAGAAATATGAAGACTTTGTAATAAAAAGTTTTCAAGGTAATCAGTGGAAACTATTCTTAAATTTAAGGTCGCTTTGACCTTGACCTTTCAACTAGTGAGCCTAAAATCTATAGGGGTCATTAACTAAATATGACCAATCAATATGTGAAATATGAAGATTTTGTAATAGATAATTCTCAAGATAATTAGCTGAAACCATTCTAGCTTTTTTTTAAGGCACTTGTGGCATTGACCTTTGACCTATTGACCCCAAATAGGGGTAATTTACAAGTTATGAATAATCAGTTGGTTAAATATGAAGACTTTGTGATTTTGTTTTAATTTGTTTGTTTCATTTTACGCCTTTTCCCAACAGTATTTCAGTCATATAGGCAGGTAGTTTCCTAACCATCGTTCCTGGAGAGTTACACCAGTACTAGACTACCTTCCTCCGCGCTAAACTACCAAAGCATCTCCCGGGGATCTAACCCACGCCAGAGAGGTAACTGGATTAGGAGTCATTGACTCTAACCCCTCGACCACGGAGGCGGTTAAGACTTTGTGATAAATAGCTTTCAAGATAATGAGTGGAAACCATTCTGACATTTAAGGCCCCTGTGACCTTGACCTTTGACCTAGTAATCCCAAAATCAAAAGGGGTCATCTACTAGTTATGACCAATCAGTATATGTAATATGAAGATTTTGTGATAAAAAGTTGAAACCATGTGGTCTACTGACAGACAGACAGACCAATCAAATAGCAAAACAATATACCCACTCTTCTTGGGGGCATAATTATATACCATAACATCAACTTTCATCACAAATAAAACAAGTCAAAAATATAAAATGAACAATGTATATTTCCTTGAATATTTTCCCAACAAAAATCCACAAAAAATCATTTAAGTAAGTATAAACTAGACTTTATCTTTGTGTCAAATCATCGATGAATCTCGAGTTTTATGGTTTTGAAAACATTCAATACATAGTAATCTATAGATATTATCAAGAACTTGGCAAATGAGGGTTTTTCCCAGCTAATCCGTTGGTACATACAAACTTTTACCGTTGTAGTTTTATGGTATACTACTCAACACAATAGATTAGTCAACCTGATGAGCTTATTTTCAAAGCTGTAACTGTAAAAGTTTGTTTGTACCTACGGAATAGCTGGGAAAACCCATAATATTCTTAATTCAGGAGTCTATATTATTATATATATTATAATACTTTTCAGGTAAAACATGGCAGTCCCAGGAAAGAAAGCATCAAAACAATTTTCATCATCAACAGCATCCATGGCATCAGATGAAGATCTTCAAATTTACTGCCAGCCTTGTGACGAGGAAGGAACTAGACTACCTGCCCATGGTTACTGCACTGACTGCAAGGAACACCTTTGTAAGACATGCTTTACAGCCCATAAAATAAGTAGGCTTTCCAAACATCATAAACTTCAGGATGCTACGAAAATGCCTAAAGTTTTGCAGCAACCCTCAACACATACCCATACAGGTCAGTCTAATTTCTTGACAACACCCTGTCTCAAACATCCACAAGAAATGATCAAGTTCTACTGTCATGATCATGTAGAATTACTCTGCAGTGTTTGTGTTACCCTTGAACATCAAGCTACTTCCTGCAATGTCAACTATATACCAGATATTTCTGGTGATATAATAGACAGCAAAGAATATCAAGTTATCTTGAATGCAGTAAATACCACTTCTGACAAATTTCAACAGATATTAAAAGATGTCAAGGACATGACATACAAATCAAACAGCTCTCTCAAAGATGCATTAGTTGACATTAAAAAGTTCCGCCAAGAAATCAACCTAAGACTAGATGTACTTGAGAGACAGAATGTAGATGCAGCTAAAGTCATAGAACAAGAAAACAACAAACATCTGAAAGCAGTAGAAACAACATGTGAAGAGATTACCAAATCTCTGAAGATATCATCAGACAAAATCAAACAGCTCAACACAACAAAACAAGGCGACAAACTTTTCATTGATTTAAAACTTGCAGAGAATAAAATCAAAGTTATGAAGGAAAAACTACTAACACTGTCATCATTTGATATCAAAGAGTACAACTTTCAATCAAATGATGTAATATCAAATCTGTTCAAAACAAAGAAGTCACTGGGTACATTGACACACAAAACTTTAAATACAGAATCTCACTCTGTACAAATAAAGTCTAGACAA